ACAGCAACCTCCAACTCCTGGGCTCAAGCGAGTTTCCTGCCTCAGCCTCCCAAGTAGCTGGAACCGCAGGCGCCCGCCACAACGCCCGGCTATTTTTTGGTTGCAGCCGTCATTGTTGTTTTGGCGGGCCCAGGCTGGATTTGAACCTGCCACCTTAGGTATATGTGGCTGGTGCCTTAGCCACTTGAGCCATCGGTGCTGAGCCTAAAATATACTTTTTAATTACAAGAAATACATGAGTATATACTAGTTGCAAAATATTTAACATAGACACCTTTATACCCTCACTTCTATCTCACCTCCCCACATATTTTGGATTTTAAAAAAAGCATAAATGGGATTTTTATATCCTTATTATTCAGTGACCTTTACAACTTAATAATATGTCTTGGATATCTTTCCATGATACTAATATAGATATACCTATTTCCTTTTTTTTTTTTTTTTGGCCAGGGCTGGGTTTGAACCCTCTACCTCCGGAATATGGGGCCAGCACCCTATTACTCTGAGCCACAGGCGTCGCTGCCTATTTCCTTTTTAACTGTACACAGTATTGCCTTTAGTCCCCCCCATATCCAGTGGAGTCTAGTCTTTAAGGTCTATATACATTTCCTTGTTTCTCTCCCCTCATCTTACCACCTTACCACCTAGTACTTGGGAAAAGAGGGATCTGGTTCTGATCCAGCTGGACATTGTCCTGATATTTCTAGACAATGGATCCTACCACCATATAAATTTCCCTTTTTGTTACAGGTCAAAGGCTATCTGCCTGGAACAGGGGGAGAAGTGACTTGGCCCTTAGAAAGAGTGCCGTTTCTAATATTCAACCTCACCCCTACATACACACGAATGTGGAACAACACAGGAGAGAGTAAAAAATTATAGGGCCTCCTGCACCCTGAAATTATATGTGGAGCATCCTCCAACTATCATCTCTGTAGTGTACAGACATATATGCTGTCCTCTTCCCCAGCTGTCTGCAAAATAGAGAGAGAAGCACAAGAGAAGATACGGGGGAGAGTCAGGACCAGGGAAGCCAAAAGTCCTAGCTGGGAAGGGCTGTTCCTTCCTAACCAGAGAGAGGAGACAGACATCATCAGAGGGAAGAGAGGCAGCAAGGAGAAGTAGAGGGACCACAACCAGGGATCCAGCTGGCTAAAGGAGGGAAGGCAAAGGGGTAAGGACATAACTACTCCACCTTTCTGCAGCCTACTCATTGCTAGAATGATGGCCACTATGAGGATC